GCTATGGAAGTTGTGCACTTACTAGGATCTAGTACTAACTAAATAACACCAATTAATTGTGATTTTCATAAGAAAAACCATAAATAAGATTAATGCCTGTCTGAACAAATTACGTTGTTTTAAACAATATTAAAAAATTGATACTCTGGCTTAATAACCGTCAAAAATTATTAATAACCAGCAATAATTATGAGGATTCACTGTAAATGAAACTTACAAGTTCTCAGAGCAAACTTTTAGAATAATTTTGGCTAAACATGGCGGCACATAGCAGTGCATGGCACGATATTTTATTTTTTTACACGGAAACTATTAACTTTAAGGAAAATACTAAAGAGACAAAAAAGTACCACTAAAGAGTGAGCTTTACAACCCATATTTTTTTATGTTCATATTCCATAGCGTTAAAAAGTTGTTATAAAAAAAACAAGGGGGTAGTGAATTTCATCCCCTAAGAGGGCGCTGGGGAAGTTTAAGGTATGGTTGAAAATAAGTTCTTAACCAGTAGTACATACGTACAAAGTTTCAAATTCTACGGTTTACTTGCAGCCGAAATACAAAACAAAATGTAAATTTTTTTCTCAACTTTGATCGCTCATAGCTCGAAAACAAAAGAATTGCGACCCTATGTTTATATAAAAAATTTGTGTTATTTTGGCAAGTACTACATCCTAGTAAAGTTTCCCGATTAAAAACTGAACCACCCTGTATATTCATTATCCTTCGCATTCGGGCAAATTTTTCCAAAATATTTGCCTGCTTTCTGGAATGATACCGTTTAACACCCTTAATAGTTCATCTTTCTTATATTTAGGAAAGCCTCGTGGTCCAGAAAGGTAGGTTAATGGAAGAACTAAGCCACATTTTTTCATTGCCTTCTTGCACAAAAAATCCAAGGTCTTGAGTTCTTCGTTTGGATCAAACGAGTTTTTGTATTTTAGAACAAATGATCCGCGGCTTGCTTGTAGCTGTTTTATGTTTGTCAGAAGCGGTCGGTTGCTGTCCTGTTTGACTTTTTGCTGGGATTTAAAATCTTTCCATAAATAAAAATCAGTAAAATTCATAACTTTAATTTCTGGCTTGTTGTTAATTCTACACTCACGAACCGCTTTGGAAAAATCATCAAAGTCATATATTTTCCCATGTCTTTTTAAGGATAGTTCTATCTGTTGATGAAAGCTATCAGCGGCCATAAAACTGTGGCCGGGCTCAAAGTAGTTTACAAGAATTTCACTGGCTGATATATCTGAAGAAAAAAATGTCAAAAAGCACCAGTTCTTGTTCTGACTTGAACAATTATCCAACCAAAATACGAAGCGATTGACATCTCTTTGACTTAACATAAAAGCAAAAAAAGCGCTAATTATATCCTCCTTATTTCGTCCGGAAATGGATTCGTTCCACAGAACTGCAAATGGTGGTAGTTTCTTTGTACTGCCCAGAGCAACAAAACTTTCATTATAGGCAATAAGTCTTTTACTGAATATAACTCTTTTGAAGCTATCTATTCGGGGAAGCATAATCACTTTTTGTAGATCAACGGAAAAGTATACGATATCGCCAATAGAAGGCAGGCTTGCGTGTTATTGATATAACTCTCTTGATTTTTCAGCAAGGCTAATATGTAATTGTTATTTATCACAAACACTACATTCTTCTTGAAAGTTATCTTTAGTGTGGCCATGGAGCTTAAATTCCTCACATAACTCACACTCCTCTTGGCCAAGTTTTGCGAAAGAAATATTCTTCTCCTTAACACGAACCCTATAGGAATCATAAGAGACTTTTGTATCTGGGAATTTAGATTTAAAATCTTCATACATCAACGTTACTGAAACGTCGCTAGGAAGGTATGTACATTCTGTTGGGAGCATGTTCTCGTCTATAGTGAGAAACTGTAGGATTAAAGGAATCGATATGGTCGTTAACGACGATATTATTAATTTTGTGTTTATTTGGCGTTTTGCCTCTTCCATTAGCTACAGCTCGTAACATATTTTTAGGAGTTTTCGAAAGAACATCATGTAAGAGCCTATCATTGTTTTTTTGAAACCCAAATGTGGTTAGGAAAAAGGTTTTGCACACTTCTTTTGATTCACCTTTTTCATCCTTTATAAAGTATTTAAATGTGTTATTCTTTCTGTAATTAACATCAGTTTCACGGCGCTTCTGAACATTCAACCTTAAACAGGACGCTAAAATATGATTTCTTCTTTCTGGTTCCGTCAAACTCCAAAAGTTTAAGTTAATTTGTTGTCTCTGATTTTCAGATATAACTGAAATGCACTTTTTCCTACATGAATTAACTGAACAAGGTGGAAGTACTTTATGTTTTTCAACTAGTAATTTTAACTTTCTTGCTTTTTCTAATCTAATTTCTTCTGATTCTCTCTTCTTTCTTCTTTTTCTTGGTTCTCCATTTTTGTTGTAACCCTTGGGTGCATTTCGTTTAACTATTTCGGCAAGTGGTCGGTTGTCATCGGAGTCAGAACTTTCTACGACTTTATAATTTTCTTGATTTTCAATATTTTCGATTCCTTTTTCCATTCCTTTCTTCATTTTCTTTTCTCCGGTATGACCCTCGTGTCCTTTATCATCAGATTCTTCATCGTGCTCCAGTTTTTCAGCGACTTTTTGACCATCTTCTTCATTTTCCATTATTTCAATTTCCATTTCGTCAGTATCGTTTTGACGACCTATATAGGTATTATGTATTTATTTTATTGTATTATTTTGGTATTACGCCATAGTTTACGTGGTGAAATACAAAAAAAAAGTTACAACTTGCCATTGAAAACAATTACACAAGATAAAATCAGATTAATTTGCACTGGCACAGCTAAAACTCAATGTCATCTTGTCAGAATTATTAAAACAATTGTTGTAATGCGAATGTCATAACGTGTGTTGTTGCTGTAGAAAATTTAGGTGTTACTAAGAAAGAGCGCGGTATTTTTTGCGTACTAAGGATATCCGCGGTATCTTTAGGCGCGAATGGGCTTCATACCGCGTTTATTCTTAGCATTGCAAATATACTGCGTTTATCCTTATAAATCATGGGAGATTTGGTACATACGGCAAAAATCGAATATGATTTTACAAGGTAATATTAAAGATACGACAAATTTAGTTATTACACGATTAAATAGATGTACGATAAACCATATTATGCCCTTAACTCAAATTTGAACAATTTTGAACATACCGCGTTTATTCTTATGAGGGCAGAATAAATAAATAAATCTTTGAGGTTATTGTATATTGTATCTGTGTTTTAGAATCGTTATAAAGCTGCTAATATGTGTGTGACCGATCGTTCAGCTCGCGTAGCGCAAGTTGTTGAATCTTTAGAACGGGAAATGGAATTACTGTGTGTAACTGGAGTTGAAGATAAATTGCAGGATAATGTACGACCAACTTTGGAAGTTTTAAGAAATGCTGGGATCAAAATTTGGATGTTGACTGGTGATAAATTAGAAACGGCTACTTGTATTGCGAAAAGTTCAAGATTAGTTTCAAGAACTCAAGGTAGTTAAAATTTATTATCTTATTTATTATTATAGATTTTAAATTTAGTAATTTTTATTATTTAAAGGCTGTGAAAGAACTGAAAATCCGCCATCTTATTAATGGCGGAAAATGTATTTCATTTGAATGTTGCTTTTTTTAGGATTACACATTTTCAAAAATGTAACGACTAGAACGGACGCTCACCATGAATTAAACAATTTTCGTCGTAAAACTGATTGCGCCCTCGTGATCAGTGGAGTTAGTCTCGAAGCATGTCTCTCCTGTTATGAACAAGAATTTATGGAACTAGCTTGTTTGGCGCCATCGGTAGTTTGTTGTCGATGCTCCCCAACACAAAAAGCACAAGTTGTTCAGTTAATTCAAAAATACACAGGGAAACGAACAGCGGCTGTTGGAGATGGGGGAAATGATGTCAGTATGATCCAACAAGCTGATGCAGGGATAGGTATCGAAGGTCGCGAAGGGAAGCAAGCTAGTTTAGCTGGCGATTTTAGTATTCCTCAATTTTCACATTTGGCACGATTATTATTAGTGCATGGAAGAAGGTCTTATAAACGATCGGCGTCGTTATCTCAATTTGTTATTCATCGTGGGTTAATTATTTCGGTGATGCAGGCTGTTTTTAGCAGTGTTTTTTATTTGAGTTCTGTTGCATTGTATCAAGGATTTTTGATGGTGGGATATGCAACGGTTTACACTATGTTCCCTGTAAGTTGAAATAATAAATTCGTATTCTTCGTTTTTATAGAAAGATATTTTTTTTTGTTTTGTAGGTGTTTAGTTTGGTTTTGGATCAAGATGTAAAAGCTGAAATAGCGTTAACTTATCCCGAATTATATAAAGATTTGGCGAAAGGACGTAGTTTATCGTATAAAACGTTCTTTATGTGGGTGCTAATTTCAATATATCAAGGTGAGTTAATCTTTTTATTAATTTAAATAAATCTTAATATCTACTTGTAGGAGGAGTTATAATGTATGGAGCGTTATTGTTGTTTGAAGATGAATTTATACACATAGTGGCAATCAGTTTTAGTTCGTTAATATTAACAGAACTGATAATGGTGGCCTTAAACATACGTACGTGGCACAAGTTGATGGTGATAGCGGAACTATTCTCTTTGGCACTTTACGTGCTTTCACTTATAGTATTGCACGATTACTTTGGTAATTTCTAAAAAAATTTATTAAAAACATTTATTTATTTATTTTTTTCATTTTTAGACTCCGAATTTATTAGAACTTTGGCTTTCCTTTGGAAAGTATTAGTGATCACGCTTATATCCTGTCTCCCGCTTTACGTCTTGAAGATTTTAAGGAAGAAATTTTCACCACCGAGTTACAGCAAATTATCTTAAACAGAAACCAGAAACGTACATAAATGTTTATAAATTTCTATTTCGTTTTTTATAATTGCGTTTTATTCGATTTTAAGTGCATTTATTATAAAACAGAAATCATAAATGATTTTTGAATATCATTATAAATAACGTGATTATTATATAAAGAAATCTAAAGTATAATTTATAAATTTTGATTTGAGTAAAAATTAAACTAATATTTTTATTAATATTGGAAATTTTGCATAAAAGTGAAAATCGTTTTGTAAGAAAAGATAAAAAAGATTTTTAAATATAAAGGTAAAATAGGATTTTAACGAATGATATCTTGTGAAAATTGTGTCAATTTAACTAAAATTTCAAAAAAATAAGTAAAATATTCAATCTGAAAAGTTTTAAAATGCAAGTTCACCATACTAAACTCTAAAAAGAAACAAATCCATTAATAATTAAAAGATGCAAACTTGAAATTGATATTTTTAGATTCCGGCTCGAATAACGTAGGAAACAGAAAATAGTATTTTTGATCGCAATCTTTTTTAATCAATAAATTTTTTTCTTCAAGTTATTTTTTATTTTATATAAAATATTTTCATTTTTAAGGTTACAGTGATAAATAATTCTCTATGTGAATAATTAAGAATAATTGTGTTGTTAATTAATTTATTAGATAATATAAATATATGTATACACTTATTTACTAAATATACAGTTATATTTAATTTGCATTGAGTTACAGCGTTCCATTCAAAACAGATCCCCCCCACTGTATTTTCTCGAATCTAATCCGCACCCTTTTCACAAATTTTATATGCTCTAAAATCAAAAGCGGATTACATTGGCAAACCGACTTTTTTTTACCATCATTGCATTTTTAAAATCGAGTGCGGATAAGATTCGAGAAAATACGGTATATCACGCTTGTGACGATCATCCTCTTTAATACACACTTCAAGTCTGAGGCGGAATGAGCGGAAGTTGTCCATAACATTGAATCAAATGCAGTTCTGCTGGAATGGCATTTTTCAACGTCATTAAAGTAAGGGTTTTTTTTAAGGAAAACACGTTCTTTTAAATATCCCCACAGAAAAAAATCACATCTGGACAAGTCCGGTTATTACGACACGTCATCAAAACGAGAAATGACGCGTTCAGTTTCTCGCTACTTCCATAACTCCCATAGTATTCGCTGCGCTGTGGCACCATCTTATTAATTAAAACATGTACTCAACAGGTGGACGTAACTATTTAAAGTCACTCACTATCGCCAAAACGTCGTCGTTTTCTTCAAAGAACTATACTCTGTTTTTAAACCAGGAGGAGTATTTTAAATTTGTCACCAGATTGACCTTGCACGTGATTGGTTGAACACACAGGCAATTTTGAATTTGAAGGTTAGGTAATTGATAATTCGACAGTTTCGTGTCATTAACATTAATTATACCATGAAGTTTTCTTTGGCAATTAGTAATGGCAATTATAGCGTGAAGTTTTCTTTTGTAATTTCAATTATAGCGTGATGGAATGTTCGGTAAGGTTAGTTTTGTTTACAAACATTAATTATACCATGAAGTATTCTTTGGCAATTTGTAATGGCAATTATAGCGTGAAGTTTTGTTTTGTAATGTCAATTATAGCGTGAAGTTTTCTTTTGTAATGTCAATTATAGCGTGAAGGAATGTTTATACC